CTAAAAAAAGACAGAGGTAGCAATCATGATCTCAGACAAAGCAAAAACAAAAATAGACCTAATTAAAACAGATAATCAGGGAAACTACATTACACTAAAAGATACCCTAGACAATGAAATATTATTTTAAAAAATTATAGCAAGTTTCTCTGATAAAGTCTTCATTTCTCAAATATATAATGACTATGGAACTGAGTCAAACGTATAAAAATAAGAGTCATTCCTCAATTGATAAATGTTGAATGTATATAAACAGGCAGTTTTTGGATGAAGAAATCAAAGCTACCTATATGAAAAAATAGAGAAAGGAAAATTAAAACAGCTCTGAGGTACTGCCTCACACCTATCAGAAATAGCAAATGCTGGAGGGGATGAGGGAAAAATAGGTACACTAATGCACTGCTGGCGGAATGTTCTCCAGAATGGAGAACAATTTGGAACTATAACAAAAATGCTATAAAACTTTGCATACCCTTTGACCCAGAAATACCATTACTAGGCCTGTATCCCAAAGAGATCAAAGAAAAAACAAAAAGGATCTACATGAGGTGGCAATGAATTGGAAACCAAGGGGATGCTAATCAATTGGAGAATGACTGAACAAGTTGTGGCATATGATTGTGATGGATTACTCTTGTGCTATAAGAAATGACAAGGAAGATGGTTTCAGAAAAACACTGCAAGACCTATATGAACTGATGCAAAGTGAAGTGAGAAGAACCAGATCATTATGCACAGCAACAGCAATGTTGTAATGATGGTCAACTGTGAAAGACCTGGCTCCTCTGATCAAACAATAATCCATGACAATACCAAAGGAATCATAATGAAAAATGCTATCCACCTCCAGAGGGAGAACTGATGAACACTGAATACAAAGTAATTTTCACACTTTATTTTTCTTGTTTTTTTTTTAAAGAAAAATTACTAATATGGAAATTTTTTTTCATGAGTTTACATATGTAATTGATATATTGCTTGCCTTCTTTGGGTGGAAGAGAGAGCTGGGAGGGAAGGAGGGAGACAGAATTTGGAATTCAAAATTAAAAAAAAGAAAAGAATGCTAAAAAATAATAAATTAACTCTGAAACTCTCTGACCACAATCTATTGTCTTTCTACCGCTCTCTCAGCCTTCCTTTACCAAAATCTACTCTTTATCCTCCAACCCCCTGATCCCTTTGCATCTTTGCATTAGCCACTTTCTCCTATTTCCCCTTCTTGAGCATTTGGTAAACCAGTTCAACTCTACACTGTTCTCTTCTCTTGAGTCCCTGACCTCCTTATCATATTGCTGATTAAGCTTTGCCAAGCTTAGCCTCAGATCACTCCAACCATCCACTGTCTTCATTCCTACACATGTATATTGCTGAAATGAAGGTGGAGAAAATCAAGCAACCATTCTGACTGGGTCCACTAGAAATGCTACACAAATACCTAGGCCCTCATTGCTGCTTGGCAATTCTTCTATACCTTCTTTATCAATTTATTATCCTAGTTTACATAGTGGTTCTTCCAAACCTTTTTGTCTCTTCTATAGCCTCCTGTGGCTTCCCCTACTCCCAATCCTTTCAGGTCAGAACCTTGCCTCCTATTTCACAAAAAAAAAAAAAAAAAAAATGAGACCATTCTCTGTGAGCTGCCTCTTTTCCTCTTCTCTTCATATCACTCATATGCCTTCTGTCATTATCTCCTCCTTCACCTGTCTTACATGAAAAGATGGCCCTAATCATTACCAATACTCATTATCCACTATGTGCACAAGCAAGCCTGTTTCATCCTGTCACCAACAGATTATCCCCTCCATCATTCCTATTCTCTAATCTACCACTGGTTTCTTCCCTACTGCCTACAAACATACTCATGTCTTCCCCACTATTTAAAAAAAGCCTAACTTGATCCTTCCATCCCCACTATTATACTATATCTCTTCTTCCCTTTGTGGCTAAACTCCTTGAGAAGGCCTTTGACAACACACCTCCATTTTCTCTCCTCTCACTTTCTTAACCTTTTACAATCTGACTTCTGACCTCAACATTCCACTGAAGTGGAATGTTTTGCTCTTCAAAGTTACCAATGATCTCCTGATTGGCAGTTCCAATAACGTTTTCTTAATCCTAATAATTTTTTACCTCTCTCTAGCTTCTGACAATCACCCTTTTCTCAATATTGTCTTCTCTAGGATTTTGGGACACTACTCTCTCCTGGTTCTCCTCCTGTCTGCTCCTTCTTAGCCTTCTTTGTTGATCTCTATCCAGGTCAGGCTCTTCAATCACAGGTGTCTCACAGCACTCTAACCTGGACTGTCTTCTCCCTCACACTGACTGAACTTGGTGTTCTCATCAGTTCCCATGGATTTAATTATCTTCCCCACGCTCATGATTCCCAAATCTACCTTTTCTGCCTTAATCTCTCTGCTGACCCCCCCCGCCCCAGTTTCACTTCTCTATGCCTTTCACACATCTTGAAATCTATGTCCAGTAGACATCTGAAATTCAGTATGTTGAAAACTGAAAATTATTTTCCCCTTAACTCCATACCCCTCTCCTGTCTTCCTTATTCTCAAGGGTAATACCATCCTCCAAATCCCTCAGTCTCACAACCTAGGCATCATCCTCTAATCCTCACTCTCGCCCCCTCCCCCCTTATCCAATGTTACCAAGGATTGGCTTTTTCAACTTTGTGATTTCTCTTAAAGTCACGTTTTTCTCTAATTTGCCACCACTCTGGTTTAAGCCCTTATCACACCATGCTTGGACTATTCCAACACCCTTCTGGCAGGTATATCTGCCTTTTTTTTTTTTTTTTTGTATTCCAATACATTACTCCACTCAGCCACCAGTCATTTTCCTAAAGTACATACCCACATCTCTACACAATAAACCTCAGTGGCTCCCTTATGGCCCCCATGACCAATGACAAATTGCTCTAGTGTTCAATGCCCTTCATGACCCCCCCTCTCCCCACCTTTCCAGTCTTTTCACATCTCTTTTCCATATATTCTTTGAGCCCGTAACAACCTTGCTGTTTCAGAGGTTCAGAGCATTTTCTCCACCTGTCCCTCAAGCTTGAAACGTTCTCCGTGGCTTCCAAGCCCCAATTTAAAATACCCTTTTGTACAGAAGTTTTTCTCAATCTCAACTCTAGTGCCTTCCCTCTTTTATTTCCCATCTACTCTAAACACAGCTTGTTTGTACAGTTTTTTTGTCTCCCTAAACAGACTGTGAGCTCCTTGAGGGCAGGAACTTTTTGCTTTTTTGTAACCTCATTGCTTAGCGGTTACCATTAGTGTTCTGGTCAACGATCTCTTTATCATTAAACCCAAAGTCTTTCTCAATCCTGATCCTTGTTACCATCTTTCCATTTGCCATCTTTGATGTACTTCTGGGTACTTTCTCCAGCCTGGGTTTTCCTAACATGTTAAACTCCCTGAGGGCAGGGACTGTCTCTGACCTCATTTTGTATTCCCAGCTTAGTGGTGCCCACTATGTAGAAGGCATTTAATGTTTATTCACCTTCCTCCCTAAAAGGATCTCATGTATCCCAACACGCCTGCAATATGAGTACACACCAAGACTCCCTGGGTAGGGTCCTCAACTACAAATGTCATTAGCACTCATGGACTCAGCTATCTTCTCCTAAATCAAGACTCAAATCTCTCCTGAGCTATACATTCTTAGATATTCACACCTAATTCCCACTTACACATGCAAACCCATCCCTCCTTTTGAAAGTACCATAATTCTTATCACCCAAATTCACAAATTGTCAACTCTTCACCGATCTACCTTGACATCATTCTTACACATTGCTCTTTTCCCACTCATACCAGTGACCTTAATTCAGGTTCTCATCATCTAATACTGTACTGATTATTGTAATAGCCTAATTGGTCTTCATATACCCAATACCTCCCACTGGTCCAATCCACTGGTTTCAAAATTAGTATTTCTAAATGTCTAACCATGACAGATCCAGTGACTCCCTGTTGCCTCTACGATAAGGGAAGGATAAAGGGAACTTAAAGCCTTTCCCAATGATTGCAGTCTACCTTGTGAAACTGATTACCTTTTGCTTCTTACACTGATCTTCACCCAAACTGGCCTCCTTGCTGTTCCCCGTACAAAACCTTCCTCTCTCCCATTTCCTATAAACAGGTTGTTCCCTGTGCCTACTATGTCCAATCTCTTGGAAGCTCTACCTCCCTTCAGCTTAAGTGCCTCATTCTTGAAAAGACTCTTCCTCCAATTGAATCCCCTACAAAAAATCACTTCTACATCCTCTGTGAAGTTTTATGTTCTGAAGAAAATGTAAGCTCCTGAGGGGCAGGCAATGTCTCACTTCTGTTGTTGTATCTCCAGTTTCTAGAATAATGCCTAGGCACTTGATAGATGCATAAAAAATGGGAGGTAATGTGTTCTTTTCCATATGAAATATTCATAAAATGAGTTTTAATAAAATTCATCATGATCCACAACAATTAAAATTATACTTACCTATGAATCGTGAAACCAGTGTACATACTAGTCCTGGCTATGTCACCAACTAGGTATTATTACTAGGGCATCACACTATGTCACTGGGCATAATTTCCTCTTCTAGTAAAATGAAGCAGACAAGAATTTCATGTCTTATCCAGCTTTAAAATTATAGAATTACATGACCCATCTCTTCCATTTAAAGATCACAGAGGATTGAGGTCATCTAGTCCCACTCTTTCATTTTACAGATTAAAAAAAAACTCCGAAGTTAGGTGACTTGTCCAGAGTTATACAGTGGCTGCATGGTAAGGCAAGGCTTGAGTCCAGGACTTGAAAATTCACATCTAGCACTCTTTTCACTAAACCAAAATGTCTCCTCTAAAATTCCAACGAATTATCATTTGCATCCTACTGTCTCTGTATAATTTACAATTCCATTGTAAACATGAAAAGAATGTTAAGCACAAACCACAAAAAAATTTATTTATTACAATTGTCATTAACAAATGGAAAAGATCTCATTTTAATTTTAATATTGTATTTCTAAGTCTTTATTTAAAGGCAATAAATTTGCAAATGTAAAATGAATGCACCTTTAAAAAAATTTCAATGACAAACATTAAACACAGAGTAATCCTGCTTATCTATTATCCATCTTATCAAGTATACAACATAATGAAATGCAATGAAAAAAAGTCAGTCTTCACATGCAATCCTTTAAGAAAGCTTTCTTCTTGAAGAGGTGATCATTAAAATGAACATCTTTGTACTTTTACATATTGGCTTCGGGCTCCAAAAAAAAGATAAGGATCAAAATGTAAATTTCCCCACATCATCTAGAAAATAGGTGGGCAACTGGAAGTTAAGATTTAAACTTTATCAGAAATAAAATATCCAAATGAAAAGACCCGATAACTAAGCAATATTTCAAAATTTGCCCTAATATACTACTGCTTATAAAAACTTCTAAATGCAACTAACTGCCTATTTAAAAAAAACTGTAAGTGTAATTCTAGTAAATAAAATTTGCTAGAATATTATTTTCCAATAGCATTTACATAGTTTATTCAATTTTGTTGAAAGACCATGAAGATCTATATTCCCTCACAGATACAAAACATAGATCTTTCGGGAAATTACCTTTTAAGTATCACTAAGATACTTTTATTTATAAGTGAAACAAGTGAAGTAGGCAAGTGAAACTTAAAACTCTACATACTTAATTTTAGATTATGTACAGTAGAGCTAAATTTGTATATTTATGTGTTATTACTAATGTTTGAAACTTTATAGGCAGATAATAAACCTGTTATACCATGTTCATATTGGCTAGTTTCCTTAAGCAAATAAAATCAGTACATATTTAAACTGTGATGCTGCTGGTGGTAATAACAGGGCAATGTACTGTGTTTCATTATTTAAAAATAAAATTGATGTAATACTATCATTTCAGTAGTAATTACTTAACATGCAAGTTTTCCTGCTAAGGAATGACTTCCATTGGGCCCAATATACAAAATAATTCTGTTCATAGTGGCTTTTACAACACATTTTACTAAATTTTCTAACTAATTTTTCACTGATATGCCACAACTAAGATTCCAACATCAGGCAGGCTAAAAAAAAGGGGGGGGGGCAATCCATAAGCTAAGGTGAAAATTCCAATAACTTTTCCAAACAAATAAAAAGAAAAAAAAAGGAAAGGAGTCCAATGAGCACACTGTAGGTCCCAAGTTATCCTATGGCTCTTAACCTAAATTTGCACGCACACACATACATACATACACAAAAGCAAAAAACAAATGAATGTATTAAGATCTCTGTGAAAATTGTTTTATACTTGAAAGTTGTGTCCAGAAGCATATAAACGCCCACGTAGCCCTACCTTGTAAAATAAAAATACTCAGAAGTTTAAGTTCCACTTACTAAAGTGCATCTGCTTAACAAAACTAATAGGCCCTGCTATTACAATGATCTAATAAAGAACAGCTAATATTTCTTCATTTCCTACTCTATTAAAATATTAAATGTAGAACAATCACTTTTTCTTTATCAAATGTGTAATAACTATGCCATGAACTAAAAAGGAACTCAATATGATCTTCTAAAATTCTCAAGAACTGGATCTCATTTTAAAACTGTAGCATATTCATACAAACTAAGAGCTACATTAACTCTATTATTTGCTTTAATATTAGCATGATGTTCCCATAAGTTGTCTCTATGAGAGAAACAGTAATTTCCCACCCCCTGTATCTTTTGGCAGTAGCTACAAATACAAAAGTAGCAGGGCTGTCTGTACCAGAGACACTGTATTTTTATTAAAGCCAACTTATTCAGTATCTGTACTCAGTTATTGCACTTATGTATTACCCTGAATACATCTATAACAACCCAGCAATAATGATTGCAACAAAAGTATAGTAAATAAGTCTACAAAGAGTTTGCTGACACTATTAGAAGTAGGGCTTCACGTTTTAAAATCTTTCCTAGAAAAAAATGCCAACAATAGCCACTCAAACCAGAATACATAAACAAATTATTACTTAAGCAGATATAAAATTTCATCTACCCTTCACCCAATACAAATTTGTTAGGATTAATTTTTTTTTTTTTTACCATGCACAAAATCTTGATTAGTTTGGAATACCTCTCTAGGTTAAAACAGCATTTTTTTCAAAATTTAAAGAAAAATAGATTTTATAAAAGGGATTTTCACTATTAAATTTAAGTCTTCCTTATTCTAAGACAGAAATTGGCGATGCTTTTTCATTGTAATTCTGTCTTAATGAAAGCCACAATTGTATCTGTTGATCTACTTATAACAAATGCTACATTTTCAAGAATAAAGGAATTATCAGTAGGCATCCTTTCTACTTCACATGAGTTATTTTTCCCTAAAGTATGTCAAGTATGCTTTTAAAGATTCAGGCAGGGGTAATCTCATGATTTTCTCTCTCAATAGATTTTGAGGTGGTTCCTCTGGCTTCAAGGCTTCATTATGGTCTTTCTCTTCCTCTTCTTTGTGATCTTCTTCCATTTTTTCCTCATCCTCACTGTCTAGAGTCTGAGGAATAAGTTGATTGCCCACAAATACGTATGTGTTAATTCTCTGTTTAACCTTCTTCCTTTTTCTTTTGGGAGGAGCCTTCTGAGAAATACCCTTGGCTTGCATCTCATCATTTATGAAGTTTCTAAGTGTACGCCGAATGTAAATCCTAGCCAAGTCTTGTAGATTCCTGACAGCACATGGGGCTAAAGAAAAAGATAAAAGGTTAAAATAAAGTTTATTTCTTGAAAAAAATACTGCAAAAAGTTAATCTCATACTTCAGTGAATACCAATCATATGATAAAGATTTTTTAAAGGAACTGAAAAGATGGAAGAAAGTGAAATAATGTATTTATCTCAATTGCAGAGCTGATTTTTCCGTTAAAGAAATAGAAGAAATTCTTTAACACAAGATAATAAAATCCAAAAAAATATAATCAACATTCAAATTTGCACTTTCAAATTTGCGACGAGCTTCATAATACATCATCTCATTTGAACCTTACAACATCCCTGTGAGGTCGGTGTTGCAGTTATTATTCCTACTTCATAGGGGTTAAGTGATTAGCCAGAGTCACACAGCTAATGTCAAAGAAATGATCTGAACATAGGTCTCCAAAAGTCCATTACTCTATCCACCTTCTGATGTTGTCTCTTACTACCAAAATTTTTTTGAAAATTAATGATGGGGGAAAATATTTATGATATTATATATGATAGATGTTAAACATTTACAAAAGCTCCACAATGGGACAGATATGAACAATTTTTGTAAGAAAAAACACAAAATGCTCAACCTCATTGATAATAAAAAGAAATACTAATTAAAACTTTCAGGTACCATCTAATTAACATCAACTTGGTAAAAATAATTAAAAGAAAAACAAAAAAACAAAAAAACAAAAAACCCAACTTAGTGCAGGGAGGTGGAGGGTTATAAAACTAGCTATACAAATTTTTTGTAAAAGGAATTATAAATTGATTATGAAGACAATTATAAACAGGCAGAATCTTTTTGGAAGATTATCTGGCAGTAAGCAATAAACACTTTAAAAAAAAATAATGACCTAGCAATTCCATTGTTCATAGTATAACCTGAGAGCATTATCAAAAACAAAACAAAGGTGCTATATATTCAAGGACCTTTATAAAAACATTTCAGAGACTCACAGAATCACATTTGGAAGGTACTTAAGGTCTTTTAGTTTTAATTTTATAACTAGAAACTGCAAAGTAAGAAAATGGTACCAACATAAATGAGTAACAATAAGGTAATGATTAAATAAGCTGTGGCATATTAATACAAAAAGAATACGTAAGATTGAAAAGAAATTACAAGAAATAAAAAGGAATCTGGAAGGACCCCTATAAAATGAAGGAGGGAGGAGAGGGAGACAAAGGACAGAACACATACTATCAATCATAGAAGAGAAAGGTGAATGGTGGAAAAGGTTAATAGGAATGAACAGAATCAGTAGGCCACACATACTTGTCCTCGAATAGAACTAAAATAAGGCCAAGATACCCAGGACACCTAAAACTACAGTCCTAATCCAAAATGAACCCAATATTTTTAAAGCTCAAAAGAAACTAAAATGACCTTTGAAGTAAAGCAGTGATCGAGTGACCTACTATATCTCACCTATCTGACTTTCTAATGTTCCTATGGCTAAAATATTTTAATCCTCTGCTACCCATATCAGGGTCAAATTCAAATCTGGAGCATGTTTAGTAAGGGCTGGAAGCTAAAGTTTACCCTTCTATCTCCTGCATCCAGTATAGTGCCTTGCGCATGACAGGTGCTTAGTAGATGCTTACTGAAAAGAACACACTATGCTATCTATCTCTGTTCTTCCTTCTTCTGAAACTATCTCATCACCAATGTTCTTAATTCTTTCTTGATCAAAGTACCTTGCTTATTCTCCTCTCTTCACTCTTCCCTGGATAATATGTTGATTAAATATGCCCTCAAATACTCTTGAGTTTGCTGAACCAGATTACAACATAAATGGGAAATATTTAACAAATAAAGATATGGCAAAAACACAGTTGTTGATGCGATTTTTTTAAGTCAATATTTGCCTGCAGAGAACCTTATGTATGGCTCAGTGCCCCTTTTCCTTTCTGTCTGAGACTGGACATAACTGGCCTATAGCACAAAAGAGATAACAAGAGTTGAGAACCAACTTTTAAGAACAGCAGCCCTTCAAATCCACAGAATCCTAGGAATGCAATCAAGAGGGAGAAAACGCCTTTGCAGAAGTACCAAAGCCCTTCTGTTATTTCTTATGTTACTCATGCTAGTCTTTTAACAAAACAGAAACACATCCTTTAAGTCACATGGGAATGTACTGCTGCCAAATTGGGGTGTTTAAGGAGTAGCTTAGCTCTGTAGCCTTCTCTCATAACATATGCCCCTTAGCTCTTGAGGCCTTATATCCATCTTCTTCGTGTGATTTCCCCAAATGTGTATATTTCTATGTTAAGCTCAAGGGATATTTCTTGAGCATATTCTATGCTCAAGGGATATTTCTACCATAGTCCATAAAATCCTGAGTTGCCAACAAACCTAACAAATCACTGTCTAAGTTCTGGGCAGAGGGAGAATTATAACTACACTTTGGCAACCTTTTAGCATTAAGAGACCTTAAAATAATATCAGCATGCTTCTTTGAATATTCTCTAGAAAGATGGAAAAAAAGGTTTAAGCTGCTAAATATTTTGGAATTCCCATAGCACTATACCTACTCTTTAATACTTGTTTTTGTTCTACTTCAGGATGGGACCTTGTTTATAAAAGATGAAACAACACCAATCTAGGTTGTTCAAAGTCGATTTCTAATTCAATTTCATATATCAAAATTCAGTTAAAATTATATCTTTGAACTGAAGCACAGTTTATTGTATTAGCAAGGTATAAAGTTTTAAAGATAAATAGGATGATGTACATATTTTTGATGTACATATTATTAACTAAATTGCTTTTTGAGAAAGCTTTTTTTTCCTGTAGATTTAGTGCTTATCAGTAATATGTCAATTTGTTGGTTTTGTCCTGTTTAATTGCAATTTTATACAACAAGTATTTTGTAATACAATTTCATGCAGATTGCCTTAAAAGGGAGCTTCATACATCAAACTAATAATGTTGTAGGGTGCATACAGCAATATAATCATGATGATTGTAATATTATTAGAAAAAGTTGTGTATATGTGTGACTGTATCATGGAAGTGTCTTCTTGACAAAAGTAGTATTCCTTTTTACATTATTGATAATAACTCATGAGACATCAATCTTTGTGCACTTCTAGCCATTCCAAATGTAGGAGGGAAAGTATTTAACTATTTATGACACATTTTATTTATACTATGCCAGAAGGAATACCCATAAAGAAACTATGTATGTATTTTGGGGTTTTCATTTATGCACGTGGTTGTTCACTTGGGGTAAGGTAAAGAAGAAAAAGTGCCTTTAACTGAAAGATAATTCCTGATGGCATAGTATAAATACATAATATGAGAAACAGTATTCTAAAAATAATTAAACTTAGAGTCATTCTTTTTAAATTTATTTCCCCTCTACCATCTTACTACGCCACATTAAAGTCATATTGGTTACAAAAAAATAAATTGCTTTTTTGACCTCTACTAAAAGAGACTTAAAAATTCTTTGCTAATAACGTTTAACAAAAGAATTCTCATTTTTTTAGTGCATTATACCAAAAGAAGTATTGATGTACAACTAAAGTTTGTGACAAACCCACAGGAGGTAAAAGTGTTATGATTATATTTTAAAAAGTTGTTTACTTATTGGAACTTGCTAGAGGTTTTAAAAATAGTATGATCAGGACAATATTTTCATGTTATTTTTAGGTTTTTGACACTTCTATTATAGTCTATTTACTAGAATGTTCTCTGGTGAGAAAGTCATTTTAGTTTTAGGAAAAGGAGACTTGTTCATATAATGTTTAATTCTAAATTCCAAGACTTTTTTTGTGTGTTACTATAAGATGACTGATTAAACAGATTAATGGGATATTCTTAGTTTCAAGAATTTTTAAAAAATCAGCTTACAGTGAGAACTGCCAAAAGGACATATTTTTGAGATATTTCTGATTAACTGATTTTGCCATGCAAAAATACTTTGTCTTATTTCATACCTATCATAATGGTGCTTGTTTAAGCACCTATTTGGGATGCCATAGCACTATGATAGATATAATAGTAATAACATCTCAAATTTGTTATTTCATAAATGTGTTGATATGACCAAAAACTTGTACTTGACACTCATGCTTTATATCACTAGTTATAATACTTATAGGGAATATTACCTAAATAATTACAGTAATTACACCTTTTAAAAACTAGATTCAATTCTACTTTTTAAAATACAACACTAAAATGAGCAGGTAAAATAGGAATGAATATGAGTGCTGATTATTTGTGATTTTATTTTTATACAGTGCTATAGGTGTAGTGGGCACTCAAATGCTTTCTTAACTGATATTTCCTGTGGACTCCAACAATCCACTTATGTTTGATTACCATAATGCTTACAGTTGGGCAATTATAAAGTCAAATTTTTAATGCTGTGCAATGAGGTTATCATTTCTTGAGTTCTCTTTTCTCATTTCCTTTTCATCCATCTACTTTAACTCACATGGCTCCCAATATCAGAAATGTACAGTTGATTAAGGCTAGGAAAAAGATAGACAAAATCAATTTTAAAAAGTCTTTTTAGCAGCCAAAAGTTATACTATATATACTCAATAATTATACAAAAAATCAAAGCTAAAAAAGAAAGGAGGGAATAATGTGGTTGAAATAAGTATACAGAGGAAAAAACATTTTCAAAACAATTCTGCTAATTTGTTATTTTATTATAATACAGCAGTTCACTAAAAGACAAAACAGGGTCTCAATTAGTTTTGGCACAGATTTAGAATTTTATGAAATTTAAAAGGTTCAAGCATTCTTGGAACACAGCCCTATAGAAGTTTCTATTTGCAGCAAAATAACTTCATTATTATCATATATTTAGCAAAATAATCCATGAGTTTCATATGTAAATTAAGAACACAATTTATAAGTGAATGCTGATCTACCTAGAAAAAAATAAAATATTTTAAATACAGCAGTTCTTTGCTCTTAAAGAACAAAAATACTTACGTAATCCCACTGAATCTGGTTTGCTATTGTCATTCCTATTTGGTTGTATTAATGGAGCAAACGAAACGGCAAGAATGTTTTTACTTTCCCAGGTATTCTGTCCAGTTCGCATAATTTGAGTTAACTAAATGAAAAAAATCAAACAATTTAATCTAGGAAAGCAGGCTGCCCAATATTTGTAATAATCTAATTAGATTTACAGCATCACTTTACTTGATCATTTAGGGGAGGTAATCAGAAATTGACAAGCCTTACAAAAAAGTAATCAGATATAAAATAAATAATAAAAAGTGTCTTTTTTGTTACTTTTATGATAGATGCGATTACCATGTACTGTATATAGCGGGTTTAAGTTTTTAGTTTAAAATTAAATTAATACTATATAGGTAAATATAAAAAAGAAGGTTTAGAAGGGCTCAATTTGAGGAAACGCCACTATGTAAGAGTTAAACTCTCAGCCTGTGTTAAAAAGATTTATCTCTGGTTAAGTTTAGCTGGTTAAAAACAAGTATTAATAAAGCTTTAATCATTGTGGTTGTTAATTAACTTCATCACATTCCACTTATATCCACAATAAATTCTGCGAGTCAACAGACAGACCAGTAAATAACGTTAAAGATCAGCAGAAACCCAAAGCTAGTATTGGAAAATCACCAGGTGCCTCTAACACTCACATTAGGCAGTAGTGCCACTTTTGCATGTTATGTGACTAATCACATGTTCCTATGTCAATGTAAAATAAATGTTTATTAATGCACTAAGTAATAACTAACTGAAATCCTTGTTAAATGTCCTAAGGATTGTAATTAAAATTAAAATGCAACTAATATCAGTGAACATAAGGATACCTTCAACACCAGATTTTTTACCCTGTTCATACTGATAATTGCTGTTAATGTTTAATTTCATCAAAATATTTTTGAATCAATTTCTCTGATTATTCTTACAAGTATTTTTTAGAGAATTAATGTTTATTACATTCATCATACCATCCAAGTACATATTTATTAACTATATAATTTTATTAATACAGACAACCAATAATGCAAATTAAACCTCAAAGCAAAATCTTTGGTCAGAGCTCAACAGAAATACAGAATTTTCATACTGGAAAGGATCTTATAAATTACTCTGTGATCTAAGATCTTTTGTTTCGCAGATGAAAGGTTAAGTATTTATTTAAAATCATAGAGTTAGATCTAGAATCAGATATTATGACTGTTAGGTAAATGATTTTTTTCAACTACAAAAATATGCATATTTGCAACAAAATCTGAAAAGTAAATATCCTTACTAACATTCCAAAGTAATCCAAATACACCATTTCTAAAATATAGTTGGGAAAAAAACTTTTTTTTGCTGGGAAGAAAGTAGGGGTACTTATTAAATATTTAAAATTATTTTGAAAAATAGGACTGAGAAAACGTGATGGTATGTAAAGACCTATTTTCCTATCTCCTAAATCATTATGTTGTCTTTTTTTTTGCTACTGGCCAAATGTAAGACTGTTATTCTCTTTAGTACATTTTTGGATGACACGAGTTGTATAAAGTAATGTCAGTGAACTTGGATACTTACAGCATTACCAGAATGTTTTTTTAATTATGGCATCCAAAATAGGGACTTTTGATTTACACATTTTCTAGAATAAACAAATATTTTCAAAACTTCATACAACACTACATTCTTCAAATAAAAGTTTTATTACTTTAGTCACATGAGTTTCAGAAATTCTTATTTCCTTCCTTTTCAGCTTCTCTTTTCTTTATTAAATTCATCTTGATAATAGGTGATCATAAAAAGGATACTCATCTATTGGTTAAAAATTACAAATATATTTTATACACACACACACACACATACACACAAACTTATAAAGAACTATTACTATAACCTATGAAACAGAAAATTCACATGTATGTTTCTGATACCATTAAGGGAAAAGATTAGTGAAAGTCACCTGATCTTCTATAGGCATGACAAGAATACCTCCCACTTTCAATAATATTTTCATGTAGTTTTCATGGTCTTTCTGGACACCAGCTCCACAATAAATCCGGTCATACTGATGACTATCAGATGCTATCTCGAGGCAGTTACCAACCACAAATGCTGGTTCACAGAACTCAAATCTGTAAGGAAAATAATGTGCATGTGTAAATATTCATTTCAGGACAATTCTCTTTCAAGAAAGATTAATCTAGAAAAAAAATTTTAATGTCATTCATTAAGCAATATTATTAACTTTAAAGTCTGGGATTCTATTAGATTATTCTATCCAAGTTTAATATAAAATTTTGAACACCAAATGGGTTCTATTTCATTATCAAAGGAAAAGAAAATCAAATATTAACTTACGCTTAGATATATCTAAAAACTATTATTAAAGTAAATAACTACATCTAATGAAATCTTACTACAAGTTTGGTCTCATCATCTGCCAAAATAATTTGCAATGCAAGCTAGAATTCAGGGAAACAAAGACTTGGGCAAATTCCTTCCCAATGAAAAGGAAAATATTCATGGGTAAATGAAGTTAGGAAGGCTCTAGAGAGTATTTATCTCACTACTATTAAACAGCAATAACTTTTAACCACATGGGAAGTCATTTCCATTTTGTTTACCATAATCACTGCACACTAGTACAACATTATGAGCCCCTAGGACTGAGAATATTCCTGCTAAATTTAGGTTGAGGAACATTTCAAAACTAAGATACTACACTGAAGAGGAATAAGAGGAATACCCTGAGGTATCATGGCTTGTTGCCCTCCTGCCAGACATAAATAGGAAGAAAATAATTGGATCATAAATCAGGTGCCTTTTAACCCTGCCAACTCTTTCTAACTACAATATGGTTTGGAATAACTCAACTGCCTGTGTTCTATCAAACACACAAAAACAGCCTCTAGGGGGAAACAGATACCTTTTTAAAGTCTTCATAAAGTTTAAACTATAAATATTTTCTTTGGTTTCTGTTAACTGTTATGTTGAGTTACTTTATAAAAGACAGTACATACATCCAAAATAACTAAAAACTTGGCAAAACATTTACCTATAAAGAAAAACAAGCCAGTGGCATAATATGGAATCCAGTTTTTGGTATCTAAAATTCTTCAGCTTTTAAGTGAAGAGTGATAAAGTATGTAGAATTAAGAGTGATAAAGATAGCATTACAAAGCCAAGACATTACTTGGAAGCAAAATAATTTTTAGGGAAAGCTTGGGCATCTGGTAGGGAAAAAAAAAGCAATTCCTAACTTTCCAATTGCAGTTTGTGTCCAAAATAAGGAGGTAACAGTTCTACTTACTGTTCTTTGCATTCATCAGACCACATCTAGAATACTGTGTTCAGTTCTGAGTGTTTTATATCAACAAACTAAAATATATCCAGGAGAGACTAACCGTGACAGTGAAGGGATTTGAACCTATGTGATATAGCAAAATGAACTGGGAATATATTTACTCTAAAAATTAGGACTTACATACAGGATATTACAACAAATTTCAAAATATTTTAAGGACTGCCATATTCTAGGGGACAGAACTGGGATCAATGGATGAGGAGTTATATAGAGAAGCAGATTTCTTCTACTTAAAAACTAGAGTCAACAATTTTAAGTATTCAAGCAGAGAACCTACTATTAATAACATCTCTTCAATTAGTAACATATTGGCCTACAAGATCTCTAACACCCCTTTCAATACTTAAAACATAGGCTTCTAAGAAAACCTATTCTATCAGAATGGAACACTCATATTGCTATAGCCAAAATCTTACATTTCATGGAACCATTTTAGAAATTTCAAGAAAGCAAAGTTACTTGACAGCTATCTTTTTAAATGTAAAGGATGGACCAGGAATAAGTTTGGCCTTAAGACAGGTCAATCTGATGAAGTTATGTCTTCTTGGTGTCTGAATATACTCTGCCCCCAGAATGATTAAGTCTCATGTTCTCATGGATGATTGATTTAATAGGTATAAAGAATTTCAACTGAAAATAAAAATAGTAATAACTGTGATTTATATTAAGAAGTAACCTGGAAAAATGAGGAGAGAGAGCTGGCTTTAAAGCCAGATGGACATGAACTCAAATACAGCCTCTGACACATGGTGGCTTTGTGACCCTGGACAACTCAAATAACTTCTCAGTCCTCTAGACAAGAGGTACCAAACTCACAAGCTACAGGTCACCCTCAAAACTGCCTGAACCAGATCATAAAGTTATTGGGACGTGTTTATGAAAATAAAAGCAAAATGCAACAGAGATGTTAACTATGGTATTCTAAAGTAAGTATTTACAGGCTGCATATTTGAATGACACCACTGACAACTTTATAATAATATAAATTGCAGAGAAGGTACTAACCTTCTCTAGTAGGAATTTTCTCATTTGAAATCCTCTAAACCAATGAAATCACGTGAAAAATCACAAATCCAGTTCCTATGCCAACAATAAGATTTTCAAAAAATGTTTTACAAGTTTGATCACAATTGAACCTTAAAATAATCACAAGTAAATACTGTAGGTATCATACTTATTTAGAGGTGACAAAATTGAGTCATACAGAGTAAGTAACTTACTCAGTCACAAATCTATATTAAGGGGGGCAGCTAGGTGGTACAGCGGATAGAGCACCGGCCCTGGATTCAGAAGAACCTGAGTACAAATCTGGCCTCAGACACATAACACTTACTAGCTGTGTGACCCTGGGCAAGTCACTTAACCCCTATTGCCCAACCAAAAACCAAAACCAAAAAAAAAACAAAAACAAAACAAAACCAAATCTATATTAAGTGCAGGAAGAAGGATGTGAACCCTGGTCTTTCTGATTCTAAATCCAGAACTCTATCCACTAGGACTACATTGCCTGTCCTCTTGTGTCTCAGTTAAGTTTAGTATCCTTATGGAGTAAATACTTTGAAGAAGGGAAATAAGCTTCCATTCAGTTCTGCAAAGTCCAAATAATTCACAGCAGTAGTCAGGTTTTGCTCGTCCACATTTTACTGTGCTCCATTGCTGCTCCTTCAGTTCCCAGGGCCACATGCTTGGTTCAAAAACTCAAACTACCTCCAAAACATATCCTCAGACACTGCCACTGCTAAATCTGAAGGAGCTCTCTCAATGGTGGAGGTATGCAGGCTTTATTTCCCCCGGGACCCAGGTCAGCTCTTGGAACTCTAATTTCTAGTCTATGCACAGTCTATGGATTTCTCCTCTACCAATCAAATTTGTATGCTTTCTTTTATACGAACATCAATGAGCCACAACAACCTGTGTGAATCATATCAATCACAAACTAAGACAATCACTCCATGGGGCTGTTAATACCTCTCAAAGTGTCGGAGTATTTCATGCCTACTAAAAATCCCAAATTACTGAAATCATCAAGTCTATGAACAATCTTCTACATAAAAAATAATCTCATCTATAATATAAACCTATGGCAATGACATGATCTAGTAATCAGTGCATGCTATTAGAATACAACTTGAATGAGAATAGGGATTGTTTAATTTTTGTATTTATATACCCTACATGTGGCACAGTGCCTAGCATAAATAAAGTAGGTGCTTAACATGCAATTTTGTTGCATACTGCTTTGTATGAGACTCTAGCTAGATATGGTGACCAGGAACAAAAAAAGTCTCCCTCAGTCTAGAATATACAGTGTCTAATCTCAACTGAGCCCTCAGGGCAGCAGTGTAATCCCTTTTACTCTACTTTAATTGAAGCTTTAGCCCATTCAGCAAAGTTGTTGCTCCAAAATGACTTTATTGATAACGATCACCAAGAGTTCCCTCTTCTTCTCTCTTAGCCAAACTCCCTATCTCATTCTCCTATATCCCTCCTTTACTCCAGTATCTGATGCTGGAGGTCCCATCTCACCAAGGCCCCCTCTCACCTTCTCCAGCATATTGCTTTCTCTACCATCACTTCTCTCTCTAATCTTTCAATCTCCTCCTATTTACTGAGTTACTCAACCTGTGACCAAGAAACATAATCAACTTTTCTCCATGCTGGAGAACATAAACTCTCACTAAATCCTACCACCCTCTCATTTTCTCTCTTCTTCCCTTCTTAGCCAGACTCCTGGAAAAAAGCCATCTCTTCTTCATGCCTCTGCTTCCCCTCCTCCAAATCCCTTATAATCTAATTTTCAGCTTCATGACTCAATTGAAACTGCTCTCTCCAAAATTACTAGCAACCTTTTAATTATCAAATATGAAGGTCCTTTTCTCACACCTAATCCTTCTTGACCTTTGCAGTATTTGTTGTTTTCAGTTATGACCCTATTTGGAGTTTCCTTGGCAAAGATACTGAAGTGGTTTGTCATTTCCTTCTCCAGCTCATTTTACAGATAAGGAAACTGAAGCAAACAGGGTTAAGTGATTAGCACAGGGTCACACGGCTAGTAAGTGTCTGGGGCCAGTTTTGAAGAAGAGTCTTCCTGATTCCAGAGTATTATCCATTGTGACACCTAGCTGCCAGGTATATGACATGACCAAATTCTGCACCTGGATATACTTTTTTCTCTGGGTTTCATAACACTGCAGCTCTCTCTTATTTTTCCTGTAACCTATTTAACCAATTCTTCTTAGTCTGTGAGGCTCTCCTCTTCTGTTACTACACATTCTCTCTTAGTAACCTTGTAGCTCCCATGAGTTTTAATTATTCTTTCTATGTAGACAAGACCTAGATCTATATATCTAACATCAGTCTCTCTCCTGAGCTCCAGTCCCACATCACCAACTGCCTACTTAACATTTCAAACTAGATGTCCAATAGAAATTTCAAATTCAACATGTCCAGAAAAGAACATCATTCCCACAAAACCAATATCCCCTTTTCAGAATTTCCTATTTCTCATGTTTAGCTTTCAATCCACTAAATACCCCAGATTTTTTCCCTAAAACTGCTAAGTATACTATTATATCCCATCTAATTCTAATACATCCCTTCAAGATTTTACCCATCATTTGAGCTGAGATGTTTTCCAATGTTATCCTCCAACATTTTTGCTAGTCTGCTAAGTTGAGTTACCTATATATTTAGTAAGTATTCCACTTATTACTTTATCCAAGTACTTAAAAGCAAGGTGTTATGACTTTTTTAATTGCATTTCTAGGA